TCGCCCGTAGTGAGGAAAAAAGAGAGAAAAGGAAAGGAGAGAAAGAAAAAGAGAAAGAGAGAGAGAGAGAGAGAGAGAGAGAGAACGATAAAAAAGAGAGAAGAGCGCAACGGAAGAAGAGGAAAGAGGAGGATAACTCGCAGTTCTGCCGAGCGCGAAATTACACCTTCGTTTTCTTCCTCGCGAGACCCTTTTTGCACTCTCGTCTTTTACGTGAAATACTTCCATTCTCTCGTCCAGTAATTTCTCGCGCATTTTCCATCACTGGGATGTTAATTCGTCTTTCGGCACATTTTTCCATACATAGAGAATTTCGCCAACAATAAAAGCCCATTATGAATTTCGTTTCTTCGATCGTAATATTTATTTATAAGTCTTATCGGAAAGTTAGAAAATCACTGTAAGATAATTTTGATAAAAATAAATGACAGAAGTTATGTTCTTATAAATATACATAAGAACGGTACGATTAAATATATTTCATTATCATTTGATAAATAGCAACAGAAAGTACCTGTGTGAGGAAACTATGAGATATCTAAAACAGAAGGGAAAAGCTTTTAGTGAGATACATCACGATCGTTTTAATTAATTTCATTAGTTTGTTTCTCTGTGAAATTTGTATTATTCATTTCGAATTTGACTTCTACGCTCATCGAATTACACGTTCGAGACGTGTAAAACTACATGGCGAACTCTTGTCTACTTTCTAAACAAAACCCTTTGTCTGTCGACGTTAACGATAAAAGACGCTCTAGAGAGATTGATTCTTATTCTTCTTTAACGCGTAATTTTGAGAATCTCTATACTCCAAATCGCGTCGGGAAATTATTTCAAAAGCCAAAAATATAACAGATTAACATTGAAAGAAGAAAAATTTTGAATGGAATGAACAAAATAAAGAAAATAATTTGAAAACAAATATCTTGGCTGGATTAAACTCAATAAGAAAAAGCAAGAAAGAAAATGGAAGGCGAGAATCGCGGAAAAAGAAGTTGATAAAAAAGAAAAGCGATACTTCCCTCATAAAAATCCAAAGTAGGGCCGTGGAGACGTTCGTTTTACAAGCGAAAGAATTTTCGTTAGGTAAAGTAAAAGCAGCATGGTTCTAACAGGATTGGCCGGTAACAACGGATAAACGAAATACGCTTTACTTATTTTCTGGGATTACCACGCGCTAGAATTTGGTGTTGGTAAGAAATGAAGAAAAGTTCTCGAAGAGAAAAGTTGAAGTGAGTCGTGAGAACGGTGAAAATCCCCCTTGACAGAATACGAACGAGCTAGGAGAGACCCCTTTTAATACCTACTGCACACAATACCCCCCACCCTATCTCAATTTGTTCCTTTATCAGTCAACATTTACCCTCGCTTGCCTTCCTCTCCTTACTCCACCCTTTTCATCTTCACCCTCCCCCCGTGTTTGCGATTAATTATGTCTTATTAAATGCTTAAGCCGTTACTCGCGAATCGCTCGAGATACCTCATTAAATATAAAAATATTCATTGTGTGGCATTATTATTGGAAAAGATCGTAGAATGAGAGAAACAGAATTAAATACCATCTTCTTATGTATCTTAATGCAAACGTAACGAATTTCGCGCTAACTTTTTTTCCGATGTATTGTTTAGACTCGTTCTTACATTTCTTTACTTAACTTTATCGTCAGTGTTACAAGGGAAAAAGAAGAGAAACGTTGTGATTTGGCTTATCCCAGCCCTACTGAGTCCGTACTTAATCCTCGTAAGATATACGTGTGGCACATAGTAATTTACTTTATGAAGCTTTTCCTCCAACGCGGGGTCATCACTTTCTCCCTTTATATCGACCTTTGTGCTTAACCCCTCTCTTCTTCTTCTTCTTCTTCTTCTTCTTCTTTCTCTTTTTTAGTCTCTCTTTCTCTCTCTCTCTCTCTCTCTCTCTCTCTCTCTCTCTCTCTCTCTCTCACTCTCATCGCTAGCTCTCATAAGCCGTAATAACCAGACCAACGCCGAAGAACGATGTCGACAATGATAAACGTCTTTACTTGCTACGCCTGCGAAAAGCAGAAGACACCGAGTTACCGCTCGAGGACAGAGAAAACGCAAAGATATTGCACGACCTGCGGCACGAAGGGCTAAAAGAGGAAGAACTAATGTGACGGTGATATAAAGTGACTTATGGGGCCAAACGGGAACTTTCGATTGCCTCGGGAAAATTGCGGCTTGCCGCCAAACACGTTCACTGTGTACTATTCCCTTTATATCTATCTAACTATACATATACATATATATATATACAGACGCACACACACACATAGAGAGAAGTATCTGTATGTATATGTACATATGTATATAGGTATGTATCTATATCGAATACTTTTAGAGTTCTTCCTTCTTATGCTACGCGAATAACGTCGATAATAACGCTACTTCCAGCTGACGGACCGCACGAATGGTCATCGAAAGAGTTGGCAAGAAACCCATCTCCCTTTTATTCTACATTGTTACATTCGTATTCATATAAATGCATCGCTATTCGGTGACCTGCCAAATCCACAAATTTCGATCACTAGCAAATCTGGCTATTTTATTCGCATACTTCACAAGCACGTATGCATCTAGTATAATATACATAATGCTCCTTTTTTATTCTCTCTCTATCTCTCTCTCTCTCTCTCTCTCTCTCTCTCTCTCTTTCTCTCTCTTCCTCTCTCCAAGTTTTTCTCTCAAATCGAAATCTTCCATTATATATTTGTAGAAGATGAGAGCTCGACAGTACATACATACATCCGATAGATACATATTGAAATAATATAAAAGAAATAATAATATATTGAATATATAAAATTCAATTTCTTTCCCTTTCTCTTTCTCATAACTCAATGCAAATTTTCAATCCATAATTCTATTTCTACAATAAAACAGTGATTGTTTCACTTAAAAATCGTTCACTCCTACAGGAATGAAAAAATTAAAAATCATTCATTAATACATATTACTGAGTGTATGAAATTAATAATTTTAAAAAATTCTTTCTAATATGAGAATCTACTTATATAATATGAAAATACTAATTTAAAATGTTTAAAGTTACTTAATTTTTTATCTTTTTAGACAATTTAAATATATAAAAGCAGCATCAATAAACCTACGATATTTATGTGTCTTTAAATCTGTAACATTTCATGTATCGAACCGGCTGTTCATTAGCGTAATCATTGAAATAGAGATACGAACAAAACAAACATTTTGCATCGAGATTCAATTTCAATTCGAAATTATTTTTCTTGCCAATTCGCTTCTCCTTTTATATTTCTCAAATATCTCATATTAGAAAAAAGAATTAAATTAACCTGCGAATAATTTATTAATATATTTCATTTAAACGATAATAGAATTATTTAATTCTATTATCTTTGAACTTATTACTAATTCTTATTACTAATACTATTATCTTATTACTAATAATAAGAATCGAAGCTAAAAAGGAAATTAATCTAATGACTTACTTTTAATGTTATAAAAAATTTTTTTTATAAGCTACTATAAAAACTCGCGACGAGAATAAACAGTAACTCAAGGGCATTTTACTGAAACAAACATTTCTATATGAACAGCAATCTCATGCGGACAACATTATAGAATAAATATTTTACTATTAATAAATATTGTCAGAATATTGCTGTCCTTTCTTATGAAAATATTATAAGGATCTCATATTATGTACTTATATATCTCATACACGATATAATGTACTCTACATATGTATTCTTATATACTAAAATAAACTTTTTTTTAATAAAGTGTCTGTACTAAAATAAACTTGTTTTTTTTCAAATTATAAACATATACAATAAATATTGAAAATCTTAGAATATTTGTTACATCGATATTTCATATTCTAGATATTTCCATCAACGATTCAATGTAAGAGAAAGGTAAAAAATTACACAAAAACGTAAGTAAATTGAGATACCTCGTAACTTTTCCGCTCGAACGTCTACTTGACCCAATGAAGAACCACACGCCTATTTAATTGTTTCTACTTAGCAATTCTAAACGAGCCGATGAGTATCAACAAGTTTATATTCCTTGACCGAATAAAATTGTATCGATATAATATTTCTTTGACATTTATAGAGTAACTTTACAACAGTTTATTATCCACAGTTAATTATCTCTTATATTTACAATCGTCAATAATGTCTTGGAAAGATAATCTCTATGATTTGTTTTCGTTTTTATAACACGTAAAAATGAAAAACAAAAAAGAATAATCGTGAAATATCTGGTAAAAGAAGAGAAAAAAAGTTTAAAATGACGGATCGTGATTATTTTAAGAGATCTTTGGGAAAAGAAAGTCAACCCTAATTACATGATCCTTCCAATTTCAAAACTTTGTTAAAAGAATAAACGTGTTTCTCGAAACCAAACAAATTTCGTAATGAATCCAAGTCGACAAATAAGTGAACGATCAAGGTCGTTCAAACGATCAATTAGTTAACAAGAAAAAAAAAAAAAAGAAGAAAAAGACTGGTTGGCTGACCTCATGGATTAAAAATATCAAGATATAGGATAAACGATAATATGATTGCGAAAACTTTACGAATATTTTTTTTTACAAGTTAACATATATACATATGTACGATAGTCGGATGATTTGCATTCGCATTATTTGAATTTCTCAGTATGACTTAAATATAACATTTCCTTTAGAATATATATATGGTTAAAAAAAAAAATGTATTACGAGAATATATAAATATATATTTATATATTTATAAATAACCCTATCATTTCCGAATAGCTTGGAATCCTTCGCGAAGAATGTTCGTGTACTATGTTTGAGTATCAAGATAGAGGCAAGTTAAATGCTGATAAAAAAAAAAAAAGAAAAAAAAACAATTCTCGTAAACATGTAAAATGTGTTTTCATAACACAATAGACCGGTAGTGATCGTGTAATGTAAATCGTAGCTAACACTTTTTATTTCACAAGAAGTATTGTCGATCACTTCAACAACGATCCTCTGTCATTGATCCTTGACATCTTACCATTGAAAAACGTAGTACGACGAACACATAATATTAATAAATCATTTGATAATACGTCACTCAAGAAAATAATAAGAGATCATAATTCATTTATCGACGAGAATGCACCGGTGCGCGTTGAAGAGAAAAATTAATAAAAAAGAGAAAAGGAAAAGAGAAGAAACAAGATGACTTCGCATTCAAGAAATTGACGTTTCTACGACTATACATTGAGCTGTGATTCCATCAAAAGTTCTTGGAACTTTCTTCAGGATAACTCATAGAATTGTTTTTATCTTCTTTCATGGGACAATTTCTTTACGAGTGGACACTTGATCAACGATACGTCATAAAAATATTTTTGTATTCGATGTGAATGGATTGCTTCGCTTCCATTTAAGAAAGATATATTTTGAAGGAACTTCAATATGTGATGTTATGACGATAAGAAGGTTATTTCGACAAGAGCGGAAGTCGATATGAATATACAATTGGTAAAATATTCAGTCGTACATAAATTCATGTAACAATACGTATAGTGCACAATCGTCTTCGAAAACTTATTCGGATTAGTATAGTGATCCATCAAGTGGTGATAATCAAAAATTTGTTTTGTCCTAAAAGAATAAATAATAATGAATGAGAAAGAAAACTCGTCGTTTATAATTGACTATCAAGAAGATGGCAGAGACGAGAATCTCGCTAAATGGGAAATCACACTTTTAACGACTATATTTATTATCACTGTATTCGGAAATAGTTTGGTGTTGTTTTCTATCTATTTAAGGAGATATCGTGCCCGTAAAAAACTCACCAGAATGTACTTCTTCATTATGAATCTTAGCATCGCAGATTTGTTGACAGGTCTACTCGATGTCCTACCTCAACTCGGTTGGGATATTACTTTCAGGTAAGAATCTTTGATCTCCAAATCCATTCGATTTTATACTAAATCATTAAGACAATACTAATGATAATCGTGGAGAATTTAAAATGAAATAGATTTCAGGGTGGGCCAGTGCTCTGTAAGCTGGTGAAATTCTTTCAACCGTTCGGTCCTTATTTAAGTTCTTACATTTTGACGGCAACGGCGATCGACAGATATCATGCAATTTGTCATCCTCTCAGTTATTGCAGCGTTACATCTAGAAAATCGAGAATAATGGTTTATTGGGCTTGGTCTATCGCATTTATCCTATGTATACCCCAGGTATAGAAATTACGACTCACAAATTTTTCTATTATTTATTATTATTTATTTCCTTAAAAGATATGGAAAGAATTTATCGAATATCGTTCCTATCGCCGTTTTATTAAATTCCAGTTATTCGTGTTTTCGTATCAAGAAATAACGCCAGGAATTTGGGACTGCTGGGCAACTTTTGACATAAAGTTCGGCGAAAGAGCGTACGTCACATGGTAAGCGATATTCCGTTTGCTCTTATCTATCTTTCTCTTTCATCCTTCCTTCCTTCCTTCCCTCCTTCCTTCGTTCGTTCCTTCCTTCCTTCCTACCTTCCTTCCTTCCTTCCTTCCTTCCTTCCTTCCTTCCTTCCTTTCCTCTTCTATTATCATTTCCTCGAATCAAGATTTACTTTGCTTCTCATTATTACAAGAACGTAAACGCAGAGGAAAGTTTTGTGAGTTCATTCTTAACGTAGGTACAGTCTAATGGTCTTCCTCTTACCATTCATCGTTCTGGTATATACCTACGTTGGAATCTGTATTGGTGTGTGGCAAAGTAATAAAATGTCCGGTGCTGTAGACGATAGAACGTACATTAGAAGTGTCAGCGGGTTTGCTCGTAATCGAAGTTCATTCATTTCTAAGGCAATGATCAATACCGTAAAGCAGACTATAGCTGTAATCACTCTCTATGTTATAACGAGCATTCCGTTCATCGGATGTGAACTCTGGGCAACCTGGGATCCTGAAGCTTCCAAATCATCTTTCGTTACTGGTAAGTAAAAGTTCGTTAATAGGAATCTCAAAAAAAACTATTCTACAATAAAAATTTGATCACCATTTATCGAAAATCTTTTCGATGATCGATCCTTTATCTTTCTTTATTTTTCTCAGGTCCCACGTTCACCATTCTGGCCCTTTTAAATAGTTTAACCAGCTGCGTTAATCCATGGATATATTTATCGTTTAATCAAGAACTACGCTTAATGTTAATGAATTATTTCTGCAACCGGCACGAATATTACGGTATAAAAATTATTCACGTTTGTATAACCGAACGATAATGCATTGGGAACATAACATTCTATATTTACAGGTCACGGAATAATACGTTGCAGTAACTCAAACGACACATCGACGAGGACATCGTTGATGTCCAGAATATCGCGATATGCTGGTTCAGTAATATTTCGCTAACGAAGAGTTTTAGTGATATTATCACTTGACGATATTTACAAGTCAAAAAAAAAAAAAAGGAAAAAAAGAAAAGAAAAAATCGAAATACATTTTCTCGTCTCTTTTCGACAACACGTGGAGTCATCAGAAGACGATATTAATTAGCTTTTAATTTTAATCTATAATGTTAAAGAAATATTTTTATTATGTAAAGGCAGTCTCACAAATTGTCCCATTAAATATACGTTTTTTTTATTTTTTATATATTAAAAGATGCCATTAAGAATTTGCATTGTGCTTTAAAATTCAGTAGAAATTTTTAGTCGATATATAATATTGTATCGATATATAATATATAAGTACACATAGAAATTTATGAATATACACGGTTTACATGCTCGTTTCACGTAGTAAAATGAGGCGAAAAAGATTCGATTCGAAGCGTGCTCACGTTGAAGCATTTTTAAGGACGTTTCCAAGTCGTAATTTCCATCATATCCTCTTCTCGACGAACGACATTCTTAGCGATCTGTTATACTTGCACGGTTCTGCCTCATTAGTATTTCTATCGAACGAGCGTCTATTATGTTTCGACGTTTGTATTCCCCATGTTTATACCGATCAACTCAGGGATTCTCACGGCGATGCTAATGTCACACAGCAGGAGCGTATACTGACGTAGATTAACTATTTTTCCTAACGTCTCTATCGTTAGATATGACAGAAGGAAAAGAAATGTCCCTTGAAAAATGTACTGAGCGTAGTCTTAATTAACCTAATTGCAATCGCCTCCATCCTTTTTATCATGAATACGTTATTAGAAATCCGATACGGGTTCTTTGAAAATAATCTAAAAAAAAATTGGAAGAAAAAAATATTGATACTTTACTGGGAAAGTAAACGATGCACTCGGCACGTCGCAAGAACTCAAATATGAATGAATGAGAACCCCTTACCGGAACACCTGAATACTTAATAAACGGATAAAATTAACATTAATAACAACTGTCTGTGCCCGATCCACATTTTATCCGAGGACAAACGAGAAAGACGTTCGACCAAGATATATTCCATACGGGGGCGTCATTTGAGGAGGACTACTCTCTAGTTTTTCATTCTTCGCTCGGAAGAGGAGTGAAAATTCAAAAGACTTTCTCCGAACGAAACGGTGGTCCACGTCCGATACAAACTGGCATGGAACAGAATCCGGAAAGATATCCGAACGAATTATCGAGAAACAAGGTACTATCATTTACGGCTCCTCCTCTCGCAATCGTAGCTATGCTTTTATATCGGTCGAGAGGCAATATAAAGGGAACAAAGAGAAAGAAAAAGATAAATATATAGGTAGATAGAATATATATATATATATATATATATATATATAGAGAGAGAGAGAGAGAGAGAGAGAGAGAGAAAGAGAAGAAAAAAGAAAAGGAAAGAGGCAAAAGGGGTATTTCTTTTTCAGTCGGAAAATGAGAGCAACGACGAGGAATACGCGCGTTCTCCCATTTTACTCGATCTCGATGAAAATTCAAAGCAACAAGAGCTACGAGAACTGGAACATGAACGAGATCGTGAACGACAACGGCAGGATATCGTCAACCACCAAGAAACGATTTTACCGAACGTTCTATCGACGGCCGATCAACACCTACAGGATCAATTATCGCAAAGTGCATCAGGTACCTTTCAAGTGATTCATCGTATTGCTCGTTGCGGTATATTCGACGGATCTTGGTAATCAACGAAATGGAAGAAAACGGTTGGTTTAGCGAACGAACGATCGATGCTCCTCTTTTATTCGCTTCTTCGCAATTAACTTAAAAGAATCAAATGTGCCTTATTTCGTAAAGAGATTATCGCACTTTTCGAGATTATCGTTTAGAAAAATGGCCTGTAGAGAGAACGATCCAAGAAAAAGAACTTCAACTTAGACGGTTTCAACGCGAGGAAGCGAATTAAGATCCCTCGAATGTCCTCATCGAATTCCGTCCTCGATTAAAGCTATCGGTAAATTGCATCATTAGTAAATTTTTCCTCCAGACGATCCGACTGTGATTCGACGTCAATCCCTGAGAAGAAGATGGCAAGATCCTAATAATCTCGAGGAACGCCAACAATCTTCGGACAATGTTTTAATAATAAGAGTACCGGAACCAGAAATAATAGGTGGCCATCCACAATTGGAGATACTTCATGAAACAAGTATAAGATCGGTACAGCGTGAACCCTCGCAAACTGAGAAAGGTGATAAATATATCGAAATTAATCCTATAAGCGTCCTGAAAACAATATTTCATTGTTTCAATATTTCATATTATTTTCAAATACGTTTATTAAAGATTTTGCGATAGATTTAACAAAGGGGACTGCTTAACCGTGGCGAATCGAGTTTGTCGTATACTTTTGAAGAAAAAGTATTTTCGGCAGGCAATCTAGTTTCTAGTTCTCGTTGCAATAACATTACACGTAGATTCTTATCCCGCGTACATTGAATCTGTCTTACAAACGTAGAAACGATCTTTTCCCGCGATTTCTGATCCACAATAGGATTTTCTTCCTTCCGGTAAACGAGATAAGATAGTGATTTTGGTACATTGCTTTCCTCTTTTTCGTTCACCTCATATTTCTTTTTACTCTTACCCATTATTTGATAAAACAAATGTAAAATCAATTGCGTGATCCAGCTGTTCCTCCATCGACTCGAGTGCCGTTTATTTTCGCGTAGAATACGCCGACCGTTCGTCCTTTCTTGCCTAACTCTGTCATTTTCGATCAACTCTTCTTCTTCATTTTTTATGTTATCAACGACTACCATCTCAGACCGCTCTATCTTCCCTATAATCGATTTTGATGATCCTCGTCGAAGATCTTCATTGGTTTCCACGAAAACTTCACGAAAGAATCCCTTGGAAAATTCTTCGTTCGACATATTTGAATCATCGTCGTGATTGACAAAAGCCATTTCGATAGATTCTTCCGTCAAATTAATTTTTTTCCCATGATTCTTCGTCTTCGCATCAAAATTTATTGATAAGTCCTTACTATCCTGGGGATACTTCGTTTCAATGTTCGATATAGGTTGCAGGAGAAACATCACTGTCATTTTATCACGAGTATGAGGCAATGGATTTTTGAAATACTGTGCATCGTTTAATTTCATTCCTAACGAGCATAACGAATGTAAATATGAAAAAGTACGAAGCGAATGCCCGACAATATTAACTAACCTTTTCTACTCGACTTCATTTTTAATCAAATTTTTTTCAAACTTATCCTGAATAAAATCACAAAATTTAATTTTTACAATTCGATTCCATTCAACATCGTTTTTAATTCATACTTTCATACCATTTGTAAAAGTAACGGAACATCCTGAAAAATTATGAATTTATTCTATACGTTATTTTTAAGGAATCGTCAATATTGAACTTAGATTCATTTATTTTTTACTAAATTCACCCATCTTTTTACCAATTTCATCCATCTTGGATATTAATGAGAAAACAAAAAAAAATATATATGTGTATATATATATATATATATATATATATATATATATATATATTTTGTAACGATAATTAAATCCACGAGATATCGAGTATGCAATCGAATTGACTGCAATAAATAAACTCGAAAAAGTTAGCGATATGCAAAATACAATTTAACTGAACTAAATTAAAAAAAAAAAAAAAATCGAATGAAACTGAGTTTACTCAATCGATCATTGCGTACGCAGATTCTATTTTCGATTCGTTTTTATTTCAGACTACAAAAAGTCAGCATGCGATCGCGAACGAACGCGAATGAGAGACATGAATCGTGCTTTCGAACTTCTCAGATCAAAGCTTCCAATATGCAAACCACCAGGTAAAAAACTTTCTAAAATTGAATCACTAAGGCATGCTATAATATATATCAGACAATTGCAAAGTATATTGGAATCTCAATACAATTACGTTCCAAATGTATCAGAAAGAACAACGTATTACGGGAATCATACGATACCCTTCGAAATACGTCATCCTAATCGATGGAAACCTTATAGCTGTTATCGTTACAACCATCAGACTCCTTACGTCACTCCGTCTCCACCCAGTTTGACATCATCCTTGCATCCACGATTATCCTGTGATCCTGAAGAAAGACCGTTCCCATACGACACACAGCATTGAGATATTAAAAAAGGAAAAAAAAAAGAAAAAGAAAAAACCATGTACTTTAGTATACATATTAAATTATATTTAAGTTGCAATAAAGCAATAAAGTTTTCATATTTCCTTTATTACCGTAGTACTTTTATTATAATTATTATTGTGTGTGTGTGTGTGTGTATGCATATATGTATATATATATACACACACACACATATATACCTATAGACCTATATGCAAAATAAATTATAATATTAACATTCTCTTATTGTAAAAAATCTTGCGTTTCTTTCAAAGAGATAGCAATAACATAATCATCGTCCAAGTTGTGACGGCTAAATGACAATATTATATCTTGTTTGTTGAGCCGTATTTGGCGGAACCGTTGTAGGGTGTATATGAAGAGGTAAATCCCATATCATCGTTTCAACATCCAAAGTCGAAGGACCATGCCAATTGACCGTGTGTTCATAAGGCATTTCAACTAATTTTGAAGTAGTTACAAATTCAAAATGTAATCTCCACCTTAATGTTACCAGTTCTGTCGTAAAATCTGGCGTTACGTGTAAAGGTATAGGTAATACCAAATGAGAGTATTTCAAACCTAAACACATTTCATGGTGTTTATTGTAACTAACTAAAGTTGGTGTTGTCGACTTTCCTCGTCTGTATTGCTCTGCGACATGTTCCTCTGATTGTAAAGCAACGGACACTTGCGCACATGATACAGTAGCATTTGAAAAATCAAATGTACCAACTATGTCCTCGCCTAATTTATAAGAATTTTTAAAAAGACAAAATCTAACTACACGTCCACGTCCATTGGTTATATTATAAAAATTTGGACTTCTCCTTGCAGTTAAATTCTAGAAAGATTTCGTCTTATGTAAATATATATATAAATGTTATAATGTAATTTTTATTATTTTCCTACAAACGTTAAAGAAAAAAAAACTAACCTGAAGAGTTTGAAGCGCTATGTCTAGTGGGGTTTCTCTATGCTGTGTTTCCATAAAAGGATTATTGGGACTTAAATCAACGCTATCGTTGCAAGTCGTTATTTCCGGTAACTCTAGAAATAAAATAATTCTATGAAATATTAATAATATATAATTTTTTTTATTTTACAGATATTTAATAAAAAAAAAAAAAGGTAGGTTATATGACACAATATAAAAATAATTACCACTCAAAGATAATACTCTAAATGGTACACGTAAAAGTTTAATAACTGTGTTTACTCTTTGAGTTCCAATTGTTATTTTATAAGAATATTTTACTGCCTGGCCTCTATACGAAGGAGGAGCATCGCTTGGAATTGTTTCTCTATAAATGTCTACGAATAAAATAATATTATCCATTAATATATATTAAACAATTTCTTTTATTATCCTGTCTATCTTATTTTTATATTATTTATCTAATATTGTATAATAAAGTTAATTGTACATATTTCTCAAGTTATAATAACAACTTACATGTCTTACTTTCACCAGGCGACAATCTTAAATCACAGAACAAAATTTTTGGCTTTGTATTTAATATAGCATGACCATTGTCTTGTTGCCATGGTACAAAAGTTGTATCTATAAAATTCCCTATGTATTAATCATCTTAATTTTATTCAAGAAACATTTAATAAATAATTTGATAATAATTTAGCTTTCTTACTTGCATTTATTGCCGCCAATCTAGCAGTCGTATTTAATCTATCTGAAAGTACCACTTTACTGTTCATAGAACATTGACAATGAATTTGAGCACTGGCCCAAGCAAGACTTTCAAAAATATCACTGAAATAAAACAGAATATTATTATTCTCTTAAATAAGGCTATGACATTAATCTCTTAAATAAAACTATATGACATAAGTAATAATACCTGTGACTCTGAGATATTTGATGAATTGGATTTGGAGGATTACTAAATGTAACAAAACATTCAATGACTTCTCCAGAAAAATATACAGATCCTCTGACAAGTTTTGCAGTAATTTCAATCATGTTTTTATAATGTTTAAATTTATATAACCTTACTCATAGAAATCTTTTCTTGTAATGTCAAAAGAGAGGTTATATTCTATCCACCTAGAAAACTGAAACTGTAATATAAAAAAAAAATTTAAGATATTATATAAAACAACTATAAAAGAGAAAAGAGAATATTATAAAATATATAAAATAAAATTTGTTTATATCAAAGTCAACAGACATTTATTAATCAAAAAATGTAAAATATATAATCGAACATATACATACATCATCTGTTGTTATTGATAAAATACGACAATTTTATACACAACAATGCATTTTGCAAATTCGACATTGCTAATTCAATTTAAATGATCTATAAGAGAAAGAATATGATTAATTTTGAATTAACATTTGTTCCTTTCAATATGTATGATAGATCTCCGAGTGAATACACAGGTTCGATATATACAACTACATTAACACATACATTATAAGAGATCATAAAGGCAAAAAAACGAAAATAAATAGAATAGAATCTTAAATGAAATATGTGAATATCAATATGAAATACACATACTTATTATATCAACAATAAAAATGAATAGGCATATATTCTATTAGAAATATTTTTTCTAAGACTCAATATACGTACTAATATATATAATGAAAATATATTGTAAAGCATTTGTTTGTAAAATTATCAGAATGTTATCTCAAATTTTAAAATCAAAACCTGTACAACATTGTGATACTGATATTTCAATAAATAAGTTAGTATCAAATTGTACACATAATATTATTTCTAATAAAACAAAAAGAATTAATTAGTATTTATAAAAATAACAGAAAATATAGACCTTGGCTTCCAATCCCATTATCGTTGTTCAGTTTAACTGGAAATATTGTTGATAACTTTCCTTTACCTCCTTGCTGGTATTGGAGTACTGATGATGTAATTAATTGGCTGCAAAATACAATTTGTTTACCTCAATATACGGTAGGAAAGATAATACATAAAAATGATTTTATAAAATTGAACATTTATCTTTTAAATTCTTTATTGTTTATTTAATATAGGAATGTTTTGTTAAAAATTTTATTAATGGAAAACGATTATTGCTAATTGATGCCTCCAGATGCGTAAAAATTGGAATTCAAAAATTTGAACATATAAAAGTTGATACATTTTATAATAGCTTTTCATTTTATTTATAAATATTATTTATATATATATACATATGCTTCTTAAAATTATACATATCACTTTTATAGCTTATTATGGATGGAATTCGTAAATTATATAATGTTGAACAAGAAAGATTTAATAGAAGTATTAGCCTTCCTCCACGTTATCCATGGACACATTTTTTATTATACAAAATACCCACTGGGCCAATTCGTGAAAAAACTAAATGTACTGAATTATTTCAAAAAATGAGAATACTTCATTTTGAAAATTGTTGTCCTATAGATCATTGGAAAATGATATCAACTAAATGGCTAGATTTTCCTAATTATCTCTTTGGTCTCACTAATCATAAAAATGTATATATCAGAAAAGAGCATATAAGACAACCAAGAGGCCATTCATATTACAAGAATGTGCAACATTATCCGAGCTATTTTATACAACCAAATATAAATTAAAACGAAATACATATATATTTAATATTAATCATATAATGTAAACATATCTTTTTTAAAGTTATTTTACAAAACATACAATGTATAGTGATTCACAACATGTGATTCAATTTTTACTTATTTCTTTCTTGATTTCTTTTTAATGCATTAGTTGCATATAAGCATATGCATACATATATTATATACAAAAAGTTATATAAATCTCAGTTATATATTTTGCATGATTTATGATTAAAAAAATATACAATTTACATTTTTGTTAAGTAAAAGATTTAAAAATTACAAGTTTCAAATTTATATACTATGTACTAAACTTTTATTAACTATCTTATGATATATTATATAATAAATTTATTATTGATTTCATCAATATTATTTCATAAATAAAAGATATTAAATAAATTGCACATTCTTTGTACATAAATTATGAATAGTGTATGTACTATATAATATGTATAATATTAAAAATTTTTATTAAGAAAATAATTCTTCTTCTAATTCTTCTGTAAAATCTAAATTATGTTTGTCAGTACATGTCTCTGACAATCGTAATTCATATTCATCTTCGCTGTCCTTACTTGACTTTGATGATGTTGTAGATACAGATTTCATTTTCTCATTTCGAATGCTATCAAAATAATTTTGTTTTTCAATTGTTCTACTAGTCGTTGCTTCCATTTCATTTACAATACTTCTACTATTAAGTTTACTTCCTTTGTGAGGAACATAAAAAGATTTTTTACTTTTTTTATCTGAATCCTTATTTTTATTCATGCATCGATAAGATATTGGTTTTTCTACGTGTAATTTAATATTTTTTGTACTTTTATCGTCCGTATCTGAATCTTCACTTTGATCTGTGGATACATCAAATACTGACTTTTGTCCATATTTTGTATTTTTCAAACTATCTTCTAATTCCCTAATTTTTTTCTTTTTTGCATTTAAAATTAAGATAAATTTTTTATATAATTCCTTTTCCATATTATTTTTCATTTCGATCATTTTCTCTATATTAACGCTTAATTCTTTATTGTTATCTGTCAATAATTCATTTTCTTTTCTTAATTCTGAAATTACTTTTTGTAAATGTTGTTGTTGTTTCAATATATCATATAAAATTTCAGATATAAGAACAATATTGGAAATGGGAAATATTGTAATTTTTCCTAAAATCCATCGTTTATTTCTTCTCCATTCAAATTTATTATCTTGAAAGAAATATTGTATATCTGTATTCTTACCAGAAAAAATATCTTTGGTTTCTTTCAAATATTCATTAAATGACTTTGAATGTTCTTGCGAATAATAATTTATATCATTTTCAGGCATCTGAAAGTATTATATATTATTAGAATATAAAAATAATCATGAAAGATAAAATTTACCTCTCCCGTTAATGGAACTGCAGAAGATTTAAATAACATGATCTTAAAACATGTATTTTTCCATTCGGTATATAAGATATACTGTATCTGATCAATTTCATTTAATATTTGAACAATAGTTATATCTGACATTCCAAATGATATGTATAGTAAGTATTAATAAACTTTATATATATATATAATATTTCCACAAATAGTCATTTCTAGGTTAGATCACTAAATTTATTTAAATGTCATTTCTCATTTAAAAATCTTTTTTTTTTTGCAATAGATAAAGTATTAAAAACTGTAATATAAATTATTCTCGATGATGAATCAATTCTCGGTAGATACAATCTTTTGAGTACGATTTTTTAATGAATCGATTCTTTAAATGAATTTGTAAATCGGTTCATTAAAAATAAAAATAAAATCACTATCATTGATAATTTTGGAGCAATTTCTAAGAATATATCAGAATGAGAATTGGTTTTATCAGCAAAAATGTCTTCCCTTGATCACAGTGACATCTAATCATTAAGGTGAGAACTATTGTTTCATTAACCATTGCTGCAATTATAAATATTTACCCTTGATAATGATTTTTTAATTCTTAATAAAATTGTTGAAAAACTTTATCACTCCGATTAATTTTTAACATTAAATATTTTTTTTTTAAATGATACAACACATATATTAAAAATTACAGATCACTGAAATATCACTCCAGCAATTCGTCAAAATCGATCAGTTATCAGAAATGCATGTACAATTTTAATTCGAATTATTCGATACTAGATGGTATTTCAAGTATCGATAATCTCGATCGAAAGCAGACAGCGAACTTTTCAAAATTACATTATAGAGATGTATAAATTCGATTTAATTAAATTAAGAAATTATTCTTATATACCGTATTGAATTGCAATATAAATAAGAAAAAATTATAATTAGCTCGTTCAAGTTGTTATATAAATAAATAAAATTAAATTCGAGAATTTATTTTCACGCAAGATTGAAAAAAACGTAGAATGTCGAAACCCAATCGTTATTCGAAATTTCTTTCCACGGAATTTCAGATCAATGTCACTTCCAAGCATGAAGGTTTTCTTTTTGTCTCGACTTTTTAATTGAAAAAGTGACATAGAAACGGTTTTATATATCATTGAAAGGTAAATTATCTCTAAGAGTTCTGGAATATGATGATGCAATGTATGCGCGTTTAGTTCCGCATCCAAATCGATGGTACGTAGCGTTAAACGTTTAATTATTAAACCCGTAAGCGTTATAATTTCTTATCTCTTTTAACATAGAATACAAACGAAATAAAAATGCGATGCCGCAAATCTATAAGAATTACGCTTGAATAGATAGATATTTCTTATCGAAAAAAAAAAAAAAATAGTAATAACAATATTAGTAATAATGAAAATAATAAAAAGGAAAAAAAAAGATAATAAACGTTAATTTTTTATCTAATGATTAATGATTAATCGAATCAAGAAGATTTAATATCGTAGTGAAAAAAAATTTTTAATGAAAACATTTACCAATAGAAACTTTCTTTATTCTAATTCGTTTTAGGTTTCATAAGATACACAGTTGACTAACGTGTTTTCATTAATATGTTTTCTTTTGTGCAATCGTTGTCTTATCGAACAAACCACAAAGACGGATATTGAAATCTGATAACCTTTCACCACGTTTTATCTTAACGAGGTTGTATCAATGGTAGTCATTTAGTTCTCTGCCATCGCGCCAAAGAATGCAATGACTGTGATTCCACGAAACTTGAAGGGAAAAAACAAAAGGAAAAGAAAAACATCAGGAAAAGAAAAACATCAGAAAAAGAAAAAGATAAATAGGCTAATGTTTCTGCAAAGACTGCATTACCTTTCCCTTTCAAATTTCTCTGTAATGGAAACGATACTACAGATCGGTCACTTGCAGTTCAAACTTTCAAAGTTATTTCTTAGCCGACCTCGAGTTTTTCCATAAAGTCTTTTTTTATTTTCAAAAGAAACAAACGTACTTCCAGGGACGTACTGTCAAGAACATATTACGTATACATATATTATATATAAAAAGAAAACTTTTTGTCCCCCACTTCGAGAACCATCGTGTCGTTGACGGGAGTCTTACTACCCTCATTGCGATAATATATGGAAGGCACACGTATGTGACTCATTCCGTATATCACCTTCGCTGCTTCAATCTTGTTCGATTCGTCTTTCTGTCATTTCTATGCTTATCCGTGTTCGATTATATTACAAATCTTCAAATCTTATTATTCTATTGTGTCTAAAGCAAAAAAAACAAATATACGATTATAAATAAGAATACCAAGATAATTTCCGAAAATCGTTAATTTTCTATTAAAAAAAAAAAAAAAAAAAAAAAAAAAAAAAAAAAAAAAATAAGAAAAAAGAAGAAAAAAAAGAAAAAAAAGAAAAAAAAAACAAGAAAAGAAAGTAAATAAATAAATAAATAAAAACGGAAAATAAATAGAAAATTTTATTGACTTTGAATATATATTGGAAATATGAATTCTCCTCGAAAAAATGGAAGTACCGAAAAAATGGACGTGGAAAATGGAAAATGTAATCTTGTCAACGGTATGAGAAAAAGTGTAAGTTACTGTTCGTTACATAATATATAAAATCTTATTTTCAATAGTTTATTTTTATTTATCCAATTTTAATATGTCTCCACCATGATATCGTTTTACTCTCGTTCGTAAAATTTCGCGTTTCTTCAGTAAGAAGATGTCTTTTATATTTTTTTTTTTTTTTTTTTATTTAGATAGATCTATATTTCCTTTCTCTTTATTTAAAAAAAAAAGTCATATTAAGCAACAACGAATTTAAACCAGCATATTGCAGTTATTTTGACTAATAAATAAATTGGTTGCTTAATGATGAATTAGTTGATAAGTCATACTAACTGACACGTGCCTTATTGTTTCCTCTGATTATGGTAAGTTTATATTTGAACTGTCTCTCAGGGACATTGAGATAAGATTATATATTTAGGCTAAAGTGTTTAATTTTCGTTAATATCGCACAATTATCTTGTATAAATTTGATATATGTACATAATAAATAGATAAGTTTTACATTTAATAATTTAAGATATATTTATAATTATATCGTTGAATCAATGTACTGTTTCGCATTCAAAAGAATGTCATTTCTTCTTTGAATTTTTTCTCTAAATCGATGTAACACAGAGACATTTGGAGATTAAAAATAAATTCTGTAATAAATTTATCGCAAAAATTGCATTATATATATATATATATATATATATATATATATATATATATCAATTATTATTCTTACTATTAAATAGATGGCTTTAAAAATTCTTTCAAAAATACCGGGTTTATGTTTAACGATAAACAGCTTAGCAAGTGCACATCGTACGATATATTTGATAAATTTAAAGAAAAATCAATATTTGATTTCAGCTGAAAATTAGAAAAACACATGTCTTATTGTAAATCAAGAAATGTAACAAATATAAAGTTGAACGATTAATTGTTCAGCTGTGAATACAAATGGTAGTGAAATAATTATCGAGAAATGTTAAACTCTTTCTTTTTGCTGAACCGAAAGAGACAAATATGACGATATTATTAACATACTGAGGCTATCATCTATGCTTTCTTGCTATCTTTATTCGACAAAAAAAAGAAAAAAAGAAAAAAAATCAGGGAAAATCAATTACTCTCTTTTAAACGTATTACTAATTATATAAACTATAATCTATATACTAAAATTCGCAAAATATAATCTAATTGCTATCATTAAATTTATAAAAATAAATTATCTAAATTTCGATAAATTTTTGATAATGTATTTCATCTCTCACGAAATAGCTTAGAGTTGAAAGAATTCAGTATTTTGGAGGTCAATGATGTCTGAAGAAAACTGGTTCCTCTGTTGTAGGCATTGCTAGCAATGAAAGTCACTTTCTTTTAACTTTCTCGTGAACGAACCACAGTCTTGTTCTACACTGTTTAGTTTATCAACGGTTAACGCGGAATGCAATTCGTAAGCATAATTTAGACGAATAACAATTATATTTCTGTTAACTCGTTTTATTCAAAATTGTACAAGGTGTGATGTGGACGTGTAATTGTGTAGAAAAATAAGATTATATAATAAGATTAGAAATTTGTTCATTAAAGAACCGTAAAATGATCAAGTTTTTAAGTTTCTTTATCGTTTGATCGAGTAATTCAAATTAATAACTTGAAAATTACACGGTATAAATATAATGATTGGACTGACAAGATCTTTTTCAATTGTTTATCTTTATTCTAAATTGTTGTATAGTTTTTACGTCGTATAATAATCAATCAAATTGAATCAATATCACGCAGTAAAATACAATATTAAACAATAAAAGTTCAATCAATAATGGAAGCTTAATGCAAGATAATTAATATTCCATTGAACTTTAACATCAATAGGAATAAAATACATTATATCGACATAGATCAATCATTCTTATGATTGTATCCGAATTTTATATTTTCGTATTTCCTTTCTATCGGAGAATTTACTATTATTTCTATAAAATTTCGGTTCAGTGATCATGGGAATCCTAACTCGACAAAAAACAGAAAATCAAAACTCTGCAAGACAGGTAATACATTAACCGTAATTAATCTTCTATGATCATATATATATATATATATATATATATATATATATATATATATAATGTAAATATACATTATACAAATTAGTAATGTCCCAAAATGTAAAGAGGAATGATGTACGTCCTTCAGAAATTTTATTTTACAAATTAAAGAAGAAGTAAAATCCATAGATATAAATCATATTATCCTGATGTTTACAGACAATTGCAACTAATGTAAGTTCACAAGCTCATCATGTGTCTAGAGCGAAACGCGGCCAAGCTGTTGGTACTGTTCGCGGTTTTCGTGGATGTACTATATGGATGACTGGACTTTCTGGAGCTGGAAAGACTTCGATATCGTTCAAGTTAGAAGAATTTCTTGTATCCCAGGTAGAGTATCGGTATAATATAATAGATCACCAATCAAATAGGTTTTATCGATGATTATAAATTGAAATATAAAAATATTTTACAGGGTATACCGGCTTATGGTTTAGATGGTGATAATGTTCGTACTGGTTTGAATCGAAATTTAGGTTTCAGTAAAGAGGATCGGGAAGAAAATGTCCGACGAGTGGCCGAAGTGGCTAAGTTATTTGCCGATGGAGGTGTAATCACTTTATGTAGCTTCGTTTCACCCTTCGAGGAGGACAGAAGAATGGCTCGAAAAATTCACGAAGATTCGGAACTGCCCTTCTTCGAGATATTCGTTAACGCGTCATTGAAGATCTGTGAGGCACGAGACGTAAAGGGTCTTTACAAGAAAGCTAGATCTGGTATCATCAAGGCTTTTACCGGTATCGATCAAAAGTATGAAATACCTATTAAGCCTGATCTCGTTGTTAATACGGAAAATGCTACGGTAGAGGAATCTACGGCGAGGGTCATTGAATTTCTCGAAAATCGTAATATCATACCAAAGATGTACGGATTAGGAAGATCTGTTCATGAATTATTTGTTCCTGAATCGATGATCGAGAATGTTCAAAAGGAGGCAGAAAATTTACAAGCGATCGAAATCAACGAAGTAGATCTTCAATGGATTCAAGTTCTTGCTGAAGGTTGGGCGGCTCCGCTTAAAGGATTCATGAAGGAGAAACAATATTTACAAGTAAACTTTTCTATCCATTAATTTCATTTCTCTTATTTCCTTTATCTGTGCAATGAATGAAAAATGATCGTTAATGTTTCAGTCTCAATATTTCAACTGTTTAACGGAAAATGGCGTACAGATCAATCAATCGATCCCAATAGTTCTTGCTATTAGCGTTGACGACAAGGAACGTTGTCAAAATGTTAAATCTTTGACACTGAAATACAATGGAAGAAATCTGGCAATTCTTAGAAATCCGGAATTTTATTTTCATCGGAAGGAAGAACGTTGTTCGAAGATATTTGGCACGAATGATATCGGTCATCCTTATATAAAAATGATATATGAATCCGGTGATTGGTTGGTCGGTGGTGAACTCGAGGTAATTGAAAAAATACGATGGAACGATGGTCTCGATGAATATAGATTGACTCCTAACGAGATCAGAGAAAAGTGTCGTGAAATGGGAGCAGATGCGGTATTCGCTTTTCAACTTCGAAATCCTATACACAATGGACATGCTCTTCTAATGCAGGTAAAAATTTTACAAAATACGATATATTATTCGTACGAAAAATTTCAAATTTATAAGACATAATAATGATATTTTTAAGGATACAAGAAAACGTTTGCTCGAACGTGGTTATCGTAAACCTGTTCTTCTTTTACATCCTCTGGGTGGGTGGACAAAAGACGACGATGTACCTTTAGCAGTCAGAATAAAACAACATCAAGCTGTCCTCGAAGATGATGTCTTACACGAGGATACGATTTTAGCTATATTCCCTAGTCCCATGTCTTATGCCGGACCAACAGAAGTAAAAGGATATTTATTATATATTATATCGCTTCATAAATAACTTACATTGTTGATAAATATAAAATTATACATTGTTATTTCAATAATTTTTACTTCTAGGTACAATGGCATGCCAAAGGTAGACTAATAGCCGGTGCTAACTTTTATATCGTTGGCAGAGATCCTGCCGGTATACCACATCCAAATAAAGATGCTACACCTGATGGTAATCTATATGATAGTACTCATGGCGCTAAAGTACTTTCAATGGCTCCTGGTCTTCAAAACCTTGAGATTATACCTTTTCGAGTAGCTGCTTACGACATAAAACAACGGACTATGGCGTTCTATGATCCCGAAAGACATGAAGACTTTATATTTATTTCAGGAACAAAAATGCGAAGTAAGTTTGAATATTTTATAACATCTGTTAGATAAATTAATAGACAAAAAAAAATGCTGATAAGATCGGATTATGTGAAACTATTTCTAAAATTAAATATATTTCAATATTTGCATTAGATTTAGCGAAGTCTGGGGAAAATCCACCAGAAGGTTTCATGGCACCCAAAGCATGGAAAATTTTATCAGAATATTATCAACGAATAAATAACAATTAATACTTTATCGATTGGTTACGATTAGATTTAAAATAAGCTATTTCTTCAACGTATTTATATAACATCAGTTTTTCGATATTTTTTAATAACAAAATATAATATTACTTAATATTCCTAATAAAGAAGCACTATAACTATTTATTATCTAAGATAAGATCTAACTGAAATCGAATTATAGATTTACTAGAAGAGTATTATCGTTTCTATATTTAAATTACTTAATCTATATTTTTATAGAGACGAGCTACAAAAGATTTCTTTTTTATAATCTTAGAAAGAAGAAATAAAAACTATCGTATGTTTATACACAATGTAAAAAAATAAAAAAAAAATATATATTTATAATAAATAATGTGCGTTTCTATGGATACTTACGAATCCACAAATATATTCGTTACTTATATATAATCATATATTAAAAGAACAATAGAGATCTTATAAATTTTCATCGGTGAACATAAAAATGTATATAAATTATTAGCCATTGTTTTGTAGAAAAATATGAAAATAACGAATATATATGTATATATATATATATATATATGTTGTAAATAATTTTTAAGAAAATAATTATTTTTGTCGATAGGAGATAATAGGTATATCTTTATATATAATTACTTATTTGGAAAGAAAATCAATGAATCTTACGTATTCCCACCTTTTTCTAATATCTATCGACTTTGGTACCTTTATTTAATTCATTAAAGGTACGGACATAAAGTATTCTTAACGTAGAATATACTTGATAGTCGAAGGATGAAAGAATATGATAGGTGTATAGGTTTCAGCTAAAGGCTCTTTATCCTAGATAATTGTCCGTCTCCTTCAAAGGAATTCATTTTAATCTGGAAGATCTGTAATAGAGTGTCCACAAATATCTGAATACACATTTATATTGTTCAAATAAATTGAAGAACTAATTTATCTAAGCATTCGCAGACATCTAAACAAAAATATTACTTTAAAGTATTCCATTATCTAATACGCAATATAAAATAATCATCCGAATATTTATTAAATTCATGCTAATATTTCAATAATTTATAAATATCTGCAACAAAAATTTTGCAATCAATATTGCATCATGCAGGATGCATACAATTTTACTAATCACATTGATCAATGACTATAATTTACATACAATATACATAACTACTTGTCACTGTGACGAAATAAAAAGAAAATAAAAATAATTTAGTATTTGCGTTTTTTCCGTTTTTTCTTTTTTTTTTTTCTTGTTTTTATTATTATTACGGCATTTAAATTAACTTCACGTTTCTTTTTTTTTTTTTACACAAATAGATTTTTTCAGACGATAACACTTTAAAGTTATTTAAGATTGATTTAAAATCTATATGAATGATGATTATGCTTTTTCGAAAATATTTTCAATAAATGATAACACGCTACAAAAAAAGCAAAATATATAACTTATAAAAAAAAAAACAAATATATTTTTAATTCGCACATTTTTTCACACATCAAAATCCACTAATATTTAAGATATAAACTAATTCATTTTGAAAGTACATCTACGATTAATACTTTATACAGAAACATTTATAACGTAGGTATTCAAATCTGAAAAAAATAAAATCCATTATTCTTTGTTTCGATAACGACGACTCGTTTCCTCAACGAATTGGAAGACAGATTTAACAGTCAGAGTTAACATAATATCAAAACGTGCAATATCTAAGAGCTACCGCTAATATTACGTATCATTAGAGGATTTAATATTTATAATTATTTTAATAATATCAATTACGATATGTCTTTAATAAATATATTCAAAAAACACCACTAATGACACGTAGAAGCACTATAACGCAATTATATAAGCACTGTTATATTGTATTGCTCAAATTATGATAAAGACAATACAAACTACTTTACTATGTGATTATGTGATCTAACAGCAAATAATAAAGAATGTGTTTAGGAGGCGATGCACGACATGGCACGCCTACCTTCTTCTTCGGAGTCGGATATTCGAGTGGTTTGAAGAGAACTCTGTTTTGACAAAGTTCTTAAACCACGCGGTCTGGGAGGTGGAGATTGCTTGTTCCAAATTGCTTCCAACTGATCAAAATGTTGAGACTGAGCCAGTGCTGCTTGTTCTGGACCTAAGCCTGGTTGAGAACCAGCTAAACCAGCTTTACTAATTTCCTCCATAGAAGCACTGACACTGAATCGACGTTTCAATCGTTCTTCGACAGTTGATACCGTTACACCTTAATATAGATAATAAAAAGTCGAATATCTATAGTCTAATCCATTCAATGTAAGTAAAAGAGAAATAATTAAGTAAAACATATACCTGTTGTAAGATGGCCGTACTTCCGTTGCCACGTATATGTATCCAAAGAAACCTCTTTTTTCAATAATCTTCTAGCAGGACGTTTAGGACCAGGTGGTCGTAAATCTCTCGGAGCAACGTACGGTGGAAGTTTAACATATTGCGCTGGTGTATTATGCAGACAAAGAATGGGCATGCATTTATGTTCTAATAAGTGCAATGCTAATCTCGAACAATCGGTAGACATTTCAACACCAAGAATTGGTACATGAAGCATAATAGAATTTAAAGCAGTGCCTTTCTTCGTATCCCAAACTATTAAACTTTTATCCTCGCTACCAGAAACTGCTAAGGTACCATCACCGGATAATCTGATACAAGTTACATAACCAAGATGACCAGTGAGAGTGTGCAAGTCTGCCCCAGTGTTTATATCCCATACAATCAAATTGGCATCACGAGAACCGGACACGACGATAGACTTATCAAGAACTGCTACTGCAACGCAAGTGACATGATCGGTATGACCGACCAACACCTATAAAATAATTGTCATTTTATAGATTTTACAAAAACATTAACTTCTCATTTTGAATATCCTTGATCTTTTATTGACCTGTGATAATTTGCCTCCAGCAAGTTGCCACACCTTTAGACTCATATCTCTAGAACCAGTAATAAGAGATTGTGAATCAGGCGTTACTACCAAACACGTAATATCCTGTGAATGAGAAACTTGACGTTTCTCTTCTGGGCCAGCTCCCAAACTTATTATTCGAACTTGATTATCCCCAGTACCACAAACAGCAAATCTAAAATAATATAAATTTGTCGAAATATTAAAGAATCATAAATTTTATTCGAAAGACATTAGAATTCTTTAATACCTCATGTCGGCGGCTACAGCAAAACATCGTCCTGGACCACAAACAGATTGAATCAAGATTCCACTATCTGCGGCCCATACTCTAATAGTTCCAGCTCTGTCGGAGCTGACAACTCTTCTACCATCTAACATAGCTATGACAGAAGTAATAGTTGCTTGATGTCTAAACGTCGCTACAACAAGGCCCAAAGTTAAACCCCAAACACGTACCGTTTTATCTTCCGAACCTATAACGAAATTTCTCTTATTCATTTATAAAGGCATAAATTATAAATATAAATAATCTATTTATACTTACCAGACGCTACAAATAATCCAGACGCAGAAAAAGTGATACACGTAACACTTGCTATATGACCTTCTAATGTTGACATTAATTCATGCGTATTTAATTGCCATAAATTTACTAAAGAATCGACACCACCCGTAACTGCCATTGCACCATCTCTAGATATATCTAAGCAAGATATAGGTGAAGTGTGCGGTTGAAGTGATTCTTGTTTACCAAGTTTTTGTGGTTTTGACGGAGCTTCCTCGCCCCGGAAACTCCAGTAGGTTACACGTCCTCCTCCAGCAGTAATAAGAAAATCATCCTTTTCAGTAACCTATATATATATATCAAATTTGTTTAAATTAATCTATTCTATGTCGACGTATATTACAAAAGATTTAGAATTACCTTCACAGATGTAACATCCGCAGAAGGGTTAGCAGGTAACGTTTTAATAAGTCTACCACTATGTATATCAAAAACAGAAACTCTCCCCTCTATACCACCAGCAATAGCTCTTCTACAATCTCTAGCAAGACATAAACTTCTAACAGGACCTTGATGTCCTCTTAATGTATGTATCTCCGTTCCAGTAGCTAATGATCTTAAATAGAGTTTCTGATCTTCACAAGCAGTCAGCAAAAAGACAGAATCTGCCGATACATCGAGATTGGCTACAGGAGAAGGTAACGTTATGCTGTTGAGAAGAGTAAATGTTTCTAAAGACCATAAGCAGACTGTTCCATCGGTTGACCCAGAGACAAGAACTTCTCCTGCTGAATCTACGCGTATTGCAGTAACGGGTCCTCTGTGATGATCAATTTTTACTAATACCTCGCCAGTAAGTAAACTAGTTGCAATGATACTAGAATCTTCGCCACCACTCACAATAATGGAATTATTTATAGCTGCTGTTAACGTAAGAACAGGTGCTATATGTTCACAAATTCGTCGTTTCAATGATAATTCTTTCATATCCCAAACTATAATGGAGGTATCTTCGGAACCAGTAAGTAGATATTGAGATTGATGCGTAATGGCTAAACATGATATCGGACTAGAATGACCTAAAATATAATATTTCTTATAAATCATTCATGAATCTTTTTTGAACGTTGCCACGAATATATGAAAAAGAGAAAAAGTTACGTGCGAAATAATTAATACCTTTAAAAGTATGTACTAGCTGACCAGACATAACGTGCCATAATTGAGCATCTCCTTGAGGTGGAACAACCACGACGTGTTGACCCGATGGCGCAGCTTCGACTAGACGGACTCCTTGTGGACAAGACAAAGCACGAATCTGAAGAGGTAGAGGAGGTTGAAGCCAACCATTTAGAGGAACTAAAAGAGGTGCGGTATAGCCATCACACCATGCCATTGCTGCCATGACCATTCTGCTTACCTTTGTACGAATATATGATCGATTAACGTTAAAAAGTTTTTTATATTAAGTACAAAAAAAAAAAAAACGAATATATAAATCTCTTACAAGATCTCCACCATCATCTGCAACTGGTCTTAGCCAACAAATAAGTTGTGCTCCAAGCTGGAGCGGATCTCTAGTAAGTACATCGCTTGATTTCCTAACAGCATAATATACCAACTCCAAATCTCTTTCCAAAAGATATCTCCTTGCATGTTCGAGTACACATCGCAAATAACTCACGGAAATCATTTGTACACCAGCTAAAAGAAAATCAAAAGCACAGACAGCCAATCTTTTGAGTTTATCAACATCGCCAGCTCGTAGCAAATGAAGCCACGCTTCTTCGACGTGTCGTA